AGTGGAATGTTATGCAATGGCCAAGTCAATCACCTGACCTGTATCCGATTGAGCATGCATTTCACTTGCTGAAGACAAAACTGAAGGGAAAATGGCCCAAGAACAAGCAGGAACTGAAGACAGTTGCAGTAGAGGCCTGGCAGAGCATCACCAGGGATGAAACCCAGCGTCTGGTGATGTCTATGCGTTCCAGACTTCAGGCTGTAATTGTCTGCAAAGGATTTACAACCAAGTATTAAAAAGTGAAAGTTTGATTTATGATTATTATTCTGTCCCATTACTTTTGGTCCCTTAACAAGTGGGAGACACATATGCAAATTGTTGTAATTCCTACACCATTCACCTGATTTGCATGTAAATACCCTCAAATTAAAGCTGACAATCTGCAGTTAAAGCACATCTTGTTTGTTTCATTTCAAATCCATTGTGGTGGTGTATAGAGCAAAAAATGATAAAATTGTGTCGATGTCCCAATATTTATGGACCTGACTGTATATACTCACTGGCCACTTTATTAGGTGCACCTGTTCAATTGCTTGGTAACACAAATTGCTAATCAGCCAATTACATTTATTGCTAATCAGCCAATCAGTAATTGCTAATCAGCCAATCAGCATTTAGGCATCTAGATGTGGTGAAGACGACTTGTTGAAATTTAAACCGAGCATCAGAATGGGGAAGGAAGAGGATTTAAGTGACTTTGAAAGTGGCGTGGTTGTTGGTGTCAGACGGGCTGGTCTGAGTATTTCAAAAACTGCTAATCTACTGGGATTTTCATGCACAACCATCTCTAGGGTTTATAGAGAATGGTCCAAAAAAGAGAAAATATCCAGTCAGCGGCAGTTGTGTGGACAAAAATGCCTTGTTGGTGTCAGAGGTCAGAGGAGAATGGGCAGACTGGTTCGAGATGATGGATGATTAACTCATGTTAATATGGACCAAAATCTCTGAGGAATGTTTCACTTTGTAGAATCTATGCCACAGAGAATTTAGGTAGTTCTGATGGCAAAAGGAGCTCCAACCCGGTACTAGCAAGGTTTACGTAATAAAGTGGCCAGTGAGTGTATGAAATAAATACAAGTTCACTTCCTATCCCTTCGGGCAACCATGCAAACTAAGTGGTGAAGAAAGGACAAGGATGACCCTTCAGAGCCTGCGCCTAAAGTCAGCAAATAGAGCTCCCATATTTCAATTGTGACAGGTTTCCATTCAGTAACATTGTCAACTCTGTGAATATGGGTTGGCATGGGAAAAAGCAATTAGTTTGTTTAGCTGAACTCAAAAGCAATGTTTTATTCAAAATTGCTGAAGAATGAAATGCTCAGATTAGAAAACAGCAATTCAACAAGGGTGCATTTCATTAGATATAATTATCAAACAGGTCTAAGGTTTAAAAGTAATTTCACTAAAAAAAAACCGATGCCTGATGTAATTCAAATGAACTTTCAGAGACACAGACAGTATGCAATTGTTGTTTGATCTTCTGTATGTTCCACAAATGCCAACCAATCATTTAAAACAAAGACAGGCAATGAAGCATGATAAACATAGCAATTGGGGTAAACTGAGCATTACTGAAAAAAGGGCCTTCTTTGTACCAAGAATGACTTGTAACCAACAGCAACCATTCAGACCATGACAGCTATTCACATAGTATAGCGTTAAACATCAATGCAGTCTGAGTGGCTGCCAACTTTGTTTTTTTTTTGTAATTATATAGGAACAAAGGATCTGGGTTAAAAATGCAAGTATTAATGGTTTTCTTGTGAAATGCCCCACACAATCCCATTATTTATTTAAGAGAACATACCACAGACTTGACCGACTTCATTTGAGCATGTAATGAAATAATGTACTTAGCAATGGTTACCTTCAGTGGAAACCACATTTCAATTAGTTCATCTAGAGATATAGGCAACTGAAGGTTTCCTGAAAATGTTCAGAAAGGCACCATTCCTCCCATTACCCAAGGTAAATGTTCCACCAACTTATCAGATTTCAGCAAACTTTTTAAGATTGTAGATATCCAGATTGTAGATAGTACCACTGGATTGGCGTAAGGCCAATATGGTGCCTATATTTAAAACGGGATCAAAATCTTTACCAAGTAATTATAGACCTGTTAGTTTAACTTCTATAGTTGGGAAGATACTGGAGAGTTTAATAAAAGACCACATAGATGAGTTCTTGTTGGAAAAAAAATATTTTAACCAACAGACAGCATGGATTCATGAAAGACAGAAGTTGTCAAACAAATCTGATTACTTTTTATGAGGGAGTGGGCAAAACTTTGGACAGAGGGGTGGCAGTGGACGTAGCCCGCTTATTGGCCATACCGACTGGGGGCAGTGCTTGACGTCACCAATAGGATGAGGGGATTCCAAGGTCAGCTCACAGGAAGTGACAATGACTCTTCATTTCTGGCAAAATTAACAGGTCTATACATCAAACAAAAAGAGGAACAACTGAAGAGCAAAGAGGGACAGAAGGATTTGGTTCCAAAAATCCAAGTCATCTGGAGGCTTCCACAGCAGATAAAGGAAATGAATAAAAGACAGAGATATGCCTTTCTATTTTGTACAGTTTGTACATGCGATAATTGAAGAGCCTACTTATGATCCTGACCCATCCAAGCACCCAGAGGAGGGAATCCCTGTAACACAGGCTGCAGACTCATCCATCCTTAAAGGGGACCTCTGGATGAGCAGACCTTTATCCAGCCAAGATATTTCTGCTGTGCTGTTCCATACCTGGAAGGAAGTTTGCCAGACGCCTGACATATCCCATTCCCTTAAGTGGACCGTGGTGGATTTATTTATATGCGCATATTCAATGCACATCTGGTGTGTGCGCAATTTTACTATTACTTCCAAGCACAAGCATCTGAGTTCTGCTGCAGTCGGGATCTTATATATTATTATCATCATTTATTATTTATGAACTTTTATGTACTTTTATCTGTTACTTTTACTTATCAACTTTTATTAGCACTGCACTTTTTATTTACTGACGTAGTATACTTGGATTTTATAAAAACCTTTGACACAGTTCCCCACACATGGCTAATGTCTAATGTAAAGTCTACGGGCTTAGAAAAATCAGTATGTAAATGGATAGAAAACTGGCTAAAAGATCACATTCAGAGAGTAGTGGTTAATGATTCATACTCTGAATGGTCTAGGGTTGTTAATGGTGTACCCCAAGGTTCAGTGTTGGGTCCCTTACTGTTTAATATATTTATAAACGATATAGGGTCTGGGATTAAAAACAGTTTCAGATGACACCAAGCTGTGCAGTGGAATAACTCCTTACAGGATGTCACCAACTTACAAGGCGACCTCATTGCACTCTTTAATTGGGCACTATATGGCAAATGAGGTTTAATGTTGATAAATGTAAGGTTATACACTTGGGGGCTAAGAATATGCATGCATCATACATAACGGGGTGGGGGGGTACAACTGGACGACTGGGGGAATAAATGGTGGAGAAGGATCTGGGAGTTCTGGTAGATCATAAGCTTAAAAAACGGCATGCAATGCCAAGCTGCGGTTTCTAAAATGAGCAAAATTCTCCCTTGTATTAAAAGAGGTATAGACTCCTGAGAGAGAGATATCATATTACCCCTGTACAAATCATTACTAAAACCTCATCTGGAATATGCAGCTTCAGTTTTGGGCACCAATTCACAAAAAGAACATTGGGGAACTGGAGAAAGTACAGAGAAGGGCAACTAAACTGATACGAGGCATGGAGGAGATCAGCTATGAGGAAAGATTTGAGGAACTGAATTTATTCTCTTGAGAAGAGGAGATGAAGGGGGGATATGATCAACATGTATAAATACATCAGTGGTTCATATAGTGAATTCGGTGTAGAGATATTCACCCTTAGATCATTACAGAGGACAAGGGAGCATGCTTTACATCTGGAGGAAAAGAGATTTAATCTCCAAATATGGAGGGGTTTCTTCACAGTAAGAGCTGTGAAAATGTGGAATAAACTCCCTCAAGAGTTGGTTCTGGCCAGCTCAGTGGATTGCTTTTAAAAAGGTCTGGATTCTTTCCTAGATACACACAATATAACTGGATACTAACATTTATAGGTAAAGTTGATCCACAGAATATCCGATTGCCTCTCGGGGGATCAGGAAGCAATTTTATTTCCTCTGCAGGAGCAAATTGGATCATGCTTTGCTGTTTTTTGTTTTTTTTTTCATTCCTCTGAATCAATGGTGGATATAGGATTATACTTTTTTTTTTTTGGTTGAACTGGATGAACTTTTGTCTTTTCAGCCAGACTAACTATGTAACTATATCAGCATGTGACTGGACATTTTAGCATGACCTCTTACTTTAAAGCGGAATTACATTATATCTAACCACCAAAAACGCTGTTTAATTAATATTTAATAGTCAAAGCAACCCCCCATCCATCCATCTCTTTATGCTTTATTTTGCTAAGAACTAACTTTGAAAAACAGCCTCCTGACATGTGTGGCCATCTTAAGTAAGGGCAGAAGATTCATGGAGCATTTACTTCCTGGAATTTATCTGTCCTTAGCTCAGGCATTTAGACAGGAGGGTATGCTTAGCTAAGAAAACCCCTCCTGAAGACTCCTGGGATGTATGACATAATTTGCCTAGGCATGGAAACCAAGAAGTAACTGAAGAAATATAGAGAAAAAAAGTTCAACACAAGTAAATATGATATATTTTTCGATTTACTAATGCTATCTTTTAAAAGAATTAAAAATAGTTTTGAATGCAATTTATTCTGTAAATCTTTTTGTGGAATTCAAAAGCGATGAGGTAATACACCCAGCAACCATTTTAACAATGCTGTTGCTTCAGAACTAGGGTGTGATGGAGAATAGGCATTTTTTTAGCCTTGCCACAGATTCTACTTTCCTCTTTTCTGTGAGATATAGTACTCAATATAAATATTTGCTTTCAGGCAATATATTAAAGCTGTTCATTGTACTAAACCTACAGACACACCTGTTCTTCCTTCCTGTTATGAGCAGAATCCTTTTTTCTGTTTATCCATTCACTCTGCTCCGCCTGCAGATGGTCTCTAATGAGCATATAGGCTTTCTCCTGTTCTTGCTGGGTTAAACACTGCAGTTCCAAGGCTCGCTTCTCTGTCTGTAGTAACTGAAGGCAGGCCTTCAGCTCAGATAGCCCCTTCTGTGGAAGATATTAAATATAACCACATGCACTGTCTTCTAGTCAAATATTACACTCCCAAATATACAGAAAGAAAATTAAGATGGAAACAATACAGCAGAAATATTGCATAATTATTTTGTTAGGACAGCCTTAAAGTAGATCTAAATGCTAAGTGGAGTACTAGCATGCTGTATATCATAAATAACCAAAATTATTTTTCTTTTCTAAAATACTGTTTTCCCTTTTTTAACATGTTTGCATATCAATACTGTTGATTTTATCAAGCCTCTTCAGTCACTTTCTGTCCACATGTACTTCCTTTAACAAAGGCTTAAGCCACCCATAGATGGACCGAATGTTGGCCGGTTCAGCAGGGACCGTCGAGATTCGATCCATCTATGGGCAGGGTGACTGAACCCAAGTCAGTCCATTGATCGACTTGGGTAAAACCAGCCTGTCAGATTTTTAGCATGCAATTTCTGCCTGTGGCTATAGCCACTAACAGTACTCATTGTGTTCTTCCAGCCAGAAAAGCTGCCAGCCAACAGAACACAATAGTGCTGCGGGAGACATTCTGCAATCCAGCTATTTTCGTTCCTTTCATCCGTGGTGGAAGGAAAGAAAATTGATTCATCTATAGCCAGCCTTGTAAGGTAAGCATGTGACAGACTGACAACAAAGGAGCGCAATTGTCCTCCTATACTAGGAAGTACTTGAGCAAGTAATTTGTTACAGGATCATCCAGTATTACACTATATTGCCAAAAGTATTGTGACACCCCTCCAAATCAATGGATTCATGTGTTCCAATTACCTCCATGGCCACAAGTATATAAAATCAAGCACCTAGGCATGCAGACTGCTTCTACAAACATTTGTGAAAGAATGGGTTGCTCTCAGGAGCTCAGTGAATTCAAGCGTGGTACCGTGATAGGTTGCCACCTGTGCAATAAGTCCATCCAAAGTGAAAGCAACTGGAAACAACAGCAACTCAGCCACGAAGTGGTAGGCCACGTAAAAAGACAGAACAGAGTCAACATGTGCTGAAGCACACAGTGCACAGAAGTCGCCAACTGTCTACAAAGTTAGTAGCTAAAGACCTTCAAACTTCACGTGACCTTCAGATTAGCACAGCAATAGTGCATAGAGAGCTTCAAGAAATGGGATTCCATGGCCGAGCAGCTGCATCCAAGCCTTACATCACACAAGTGCAATACAAAGTGTTGAATGCAGTGGTGTAAAGCACACCACCACTGGACTCTAGAGCAGTGGAGATGTGTTCTCTGGAGTGATGAATCACTCTTCTTTGTCTGGTAATCCAGGTGGATATGTCTGGGTTTGGTGGTTGCCAGAAGAACAATACTTGCCTGACTGCATTGTGATAAGTGTAAAGTTTGATAGAAGGGGGATTTTGTTGTGGGGGTTGTTTTTCAGGGTTTGGGCTTGGCTCCTTAGTTCCAGTGAAGGGAACTCTTAAGGTGTCAGCGTACCAAGACATTTTGGACAATTTCATGCTCCCAACTTTGTGGGAACAGTTTGGGGATGGTCCCTTCCTGTTCCAACATAACTGCGCAACAGTGCACAAAGCAAGGTCCATAAAGATATGGATTAGCGAGTTTGGGGTGGAGGAACTTGACTGGCCTCACAGTCCTGACCTCAACCCAATAGAACACCTTTGGGATGAATTAGAGCAGAGACTGCAAGCCAGGCCTTCTTGTGCAACATCATTGCCTGACCTTGTGAATGTGCTTCTGGTAGAATGGTCAAACAATCCCATAGACACACTCCTAAACCTTGTAGACAGCCTTCCCAGAAGAGTTGAAGCTGTTATAGCTGCAAAGGGTGGGCCAACTCAACATAAATACTCTACAGATTAAGACTGGGATGCCAATAAAGTTCATGTGCGTGTAAAGGCAGGTGTCCAAATACTTTTGGAAATATATTGTATTTAAATGAAAGTGACAGATTTATTATACATGAAGTCCAAATTATATATGATCCTTGCAACAACTCACCAATGACAGGATCACTAACAGATCCCTTTCCCTTTTGCTCTGGATTCACTCTCTCGCTAGCCAGACCAGTAAAGTGTCACTCCCTACCTGCTCCCTTGCTAACGAGAGATCAGGTTAATGAGAAGCAGGTATATTAAAGTAAGTGAAGGTCTTTGTTGTGTTGTCAGCAGCAGAATTGACCATGTGACATGGTCCTAATTGATGAGGAAAAATATAAATAAAAGCTAGGGAAATAAAAAAGGATCAATATATATTATGTATGTAGATTTTGGAATGTGACTAATTGTTTTACCATGACTTTGCACATTTTTACAGTTTTAAATGTTAGATTTTTGACAATTCCAAAACAAGTTGTAGTTGTACTGGTGATTCTACAATACTAGATGTTTCCAATCCATGTTAGATATTTTGTTACTGAATAAACTCCACCTGAATCTCAGATAGCTTTAAGGATTTTCATTTTGATGTCTAAGGTAGAAGCACTACACGCTGAACCCAGCTGGTATACAACATAGTGTAAATTAAGCGCTTCAGCCTACCTACTCCTGGCCATGCCACTAACACATTTCCCCATCGGACTCTATGATTAAACCTCGTGGGCAGGTCAAGATGGAGAGGGCCGTACCAGGAAGAGCTAGGCTGAAGCCGCAATTTACCTTGTTGTGTTGTATACCAGTTGGGTTTGCTGTGTGACGTCTCTACCTTTTGTTTTCTGGTGTTTCTCCTGCAGCTTGGCTGAGCTTCTCTCAATGCCGGCACCCGACAGCATTGTGGATCATAGGGGAAAGTTTGTAATGCTTTGAGCAGCGATCTAAGCTTTTTTTTTACATAGGTCACATTGATGTCTAATGTGTATTGCTCTATACATTACCCAGATTCAACTTGCTTGTTTTAATGGAAGATTTCTGCAAAGAGATGCAAAAGGGTTAACACACTTTTAATAAGGAACACTTCTTTACCTTAGTATCCATCAGTTCCTGCAATATCTGTGCTCTGGCAGGTTTTTCTGGTAAGTGTGGTGAATCTTCCACTGAGACCTTGATGGCATCATCAACCTTAGCCTTGATAATGTCTGCACAGTGATCAACCTCCCTTCTATGTGCAGTGTCAATGGCCAGATGTTCCAACACAGTAACGGATGACAGATCCCACTTAAGAGACTGGATATAGTCTTTTAGCAAATGTTCATCATCTTCACTAAGCCAAGGAGCATAAGGTCTAGAAGAAATTAGGCACAGGACAAAATCTAATTCTTCCAATCATATTAATCTGGATCTACTGCATTCATATGCAGTGGTCTTCAGTAGGACAATCTTTCTTGGACTAGGGAATTGCATTCTGTTTGTACACAGAACATGTATGTACTCTGTAAGGGAACGTGTTTACTAATTTTCAGTTACCAGCCTTACCAGTTTGTTTTAGAAGAGGGAAGAGGCAAGGAGCCACATGCAGAAGGCTGGTGCCAGCTTATCAGTGCAGAACAGCAGTGACCTGCATAGTTTTTAGCTAGTCTGTCTAATTGCTACTCTTCCTTGAATGCAGCCCCCCAACTTAGTTTCACTTCAGCATCAATTTGTAGCCCAATTTGGCCAAAAATAGCCAGATCAGACAATTATAATGTCTAAAGGTACCATAAAATCAGTCTGTGCTTTGCCCGTTTAGGCCCAGCACAAGATTGGCCCAGCCCAGATAATTGAATAGGCCTTATAATTTCAAGCTACTAAGTGTTACCATAGATTAGGTTCCCTAAGCAGTGTTCTTCTCAACTGCTGAGAGGTGCATTTCTTGGTAACTTGATCTCTGTTCAATTCCTGTGTTAATGTGCTACAATTCAAGATTTTGTTAGAACTTTAAACTTGGTCATATACAGTGCCTTGAAAATTACCTCTTGAAATTTTCCACATTTTGTCATGTTACAACCAAAAACGTAAATGTACTTTATTGGGATTTTATTTGATAGACCGACACAAAGTGGCACATAATTGTGAAGTGGAAGGAAAATGGTAAAATGATAAATAGTTTTACAAATAAATATCTGAAAAGTGTGGTGTGCATTTGTATTCTACAATACTTTGTAGAACCACCTTTTGCTGTAAATACAGCTGCAAGTCTTTTTGGGTATGTCTCTACCAGCTTTGCACATCTAGAGAGTGACATTTTTGCCCATTATTCTTTGCAAAATAGCTCAAGCTCTGTTGGATGGAGAGCGTCTGTGAACAGCAAATTTCAGGTCTTGCCACAGATTCTCAATTGGATTTAGGTCTGGACTTTGAATAGCAAATCTAACAAATGAATATGCTTTGATCTAAGCCATTCCATTGTAGCTCTGGCTGTATCTTTAGGGTCGTTGTCCTGCCAGAAGATGAACCTCCGCCCCAGTCTCAAGTCTTTTGCAGACTCTTAACAGGTTTTCTTCTAAGATTGCCCTGTATTTGGCATCCATCCAGCCATCCATCTTCCCATCAATTCTGACCAACTTCCCTGCCCCTGCTGAAGAAAAGCATCCCCACAACATGATGCTGCCACTGTCATGTTTCATGATGAGGATGGTATGTTCAGGTGATGTTCAGTGTTATCTTTCCGCCACACTGAGTTTTGTTTTTAGGTGAAAAAGTTCAATTTTGGTCCCATCTGACCAGAGAACCTTCTTCAACATGTTTGCTGTGTCCCCCACATGGCTTCTCGCAAAGTGAAAACGGGACTTCTTATGGCTTTCTTTCAACAATGGGTTTCTTCTTGCCACTCTTCCATAAAGGCTAGATTTGTGAAGTGCATGACTAATAGTTGTCCTGTGGACAGATCCTCCCACCTGAGCTGTGGATCTTTGCAGCTTCTCCAGAGTTACCATGGGCCTCTTGGCTGCTGATTAATGCTCTCCTTGCCTGGCCTATCACTTTAGGTGGAGGGCCATGTCTTGGTAGGTTTGCAGTTGTGCCATACTCTTTCCATTTTCAGATGGTGGATTGAACAGTGCTTCATGAGATGTTCAAAGCTTGGGATATTTTTTTATAACCTAACCCTGCTTTAAACTTCTCTACAACTTTATCCCTGACCTGTCTGGTGTGTTCCTTGGCCTTCATGATGCTGTTTGTTCACTAATGTTCTCTAACAAACCTCTGAGGGCTTCACAGAAAAGCTGTATTTACACTGAGATTAAATTAACACAGGTGGACTCTATTTACTAATTAGGTGGCTTCTAAAGGCAATTGGTTCCACTAGATTTTAGTTAGGGGTATCAGAATAAAGAGGGATGAATACAAATGCACGCCACAATTTTTCAGATATTTATTTGTAAAAAATTTTGAAAACCATTTATCATTTTCCTTCCACTGCACAATTATGTGCCACTTTGTGTTGGTCTATCACATAAAATCCCAATAAAATACATTTACATTTTTAGTTGTAACATGACAAAATGTGGAACATTTAAAAGGGGTATGAATTCTTTTTCAAGGAACTGTAACTGGCAGTTGTTTCCCTCACTTGTCTAACCATACTGTATACAGTATCTTTCAAAAGGATTTTTTCTTTGTCTAAAACTGCTCACTTATTCTGTTTATACAGTAGCTGTATCTTAGCTGGAATCCTCCCCAATTCCTTTCTGGGTTTCAATAACGTCCTGAACCTGATGCAACAGAACAACTCTCTTTTGTACAGGTACAGTCACTTTAGTTGCTACAACATATCATAAAAACCTTATTATCCCAGCCTTGTAAAAAACAGTAAAGTCGGCCATACACGGATCAAAATTCAGCTTGTTCAGAAGGGACTTACTGTTCTGCAGGATTTCGATCCATGTATGGGCAGGGTGGTTGTACAGAAATCAATCTACCAATCGACTTCTGTACAACCATCCTGCTGGAAAATTTCTGCTTGTTCATAGCAGCACTGATCACTGAATTCTAACAATATGAAAATGAATCTTCTATGGGCTGCCGAGGATCTCCCGAAAGATCAAAAGTTAATACTTTTAGCAGATCTAAAATTTAATTATCCTTATCACCGATATTTAGTGTATGCCTCAGGTAACTAAAACAAGCCATAGACATCATGTCACGAGCCTTATTCCCCAGCCAGGTGAAACTCCCAAATGAATCATACTTTACAAAAACTGGGATAGGGCATGTCAAAGTAACAATATGTGCTGCTTACTTTTTAGTACATAGCTAGCCATTTAGTACTACACCTCCACATAATACATATAGTCTGACCTTGTCTACCTCTGAGGTTGTAAGTGGCTATTCATGTCAGGGACTACCAGTATTTATTAATCTCACTATTTCCAAGTCCATACAAACATGACACAACAACACCTATTGGTGTAATCCATTTTACATGCTTGCATTTAGATAAGCTAAAGGAAATAAGGTGAATGCACATGCAATAAATAGATGATGCATTAGGACGAGAACAATGTAAAATAAATGTAACTATTTCCATAAGTTTGTATAAGTTTGTATATTGTGCCCTCACTGCTTCCCTCACCCCTCTATGGCACCCACCACCTCCTCCTATTACTCCACTCTCCCACTGACCCCAACATCTCCACTAGTAGTTTCTCACGCTCCTGCACATCCCGCTCCCATGCCACCTTTCTCACCCTTCTCCTCCTCATAACTGCAGGGGACATCTCCCCGAATCCTGGCCCTCCACCACCTCCCTCACCCGCACAAAACCCTCCCACCTCCACGTCCTGCCGCAACCCCCGCAACTTAGTATCTGTCCCCCTGCTCCCTAAAATCTCCCCCCCGTTTTCATGTGCACTCCTGAACGCCCGATCAGTGTGCAACAAGCTTACCGCCATCCACGACCTCTTTGTTTCCCGCTCCCTCAACCTCCTGGCGATTACGGAAACCTGGATCCAGCCCACTGACTCTACCTCCCCTGCTGCACTCTCCTACGGAGGTCTCACCTAGACCCACTCACCCAAGCCCAACGGTCGTAAAGGTGGTGGGGTTGGCCTGCTCCTGTCACCGCTGAGCACCTTCCGAGTCCTCCCAAACCCCCCCTCCCTATCCTTCTCCTCCTTCGAGGCCCACTGCGTCCGACTATTCTCCCAACCCCCCTGAAGATTGCTGTGATATACCGGCCTCCTGGATCCATACCCCGCTTCCTGGAAGACTTCTCCTCCTGGCTACCCTTCTTCCTCTCCTCTGAGCTACCCAATATCATCCTTGGGGATTTCAACATCCCTGTCAACCTCGACAACCCGGACACAGCCCGTCTCCTCCACTTAACCTCCTCCTTTGCACTTGCACAGTGCATACAATCCACCACCCACTCCGACGGTAATATCCTTGATCTTGTCTTCTCCAACCGCTGCGCTCCCCACAACCTCACTAACACCCCCTTCCCTCTCTCTGACCACAACCTGATTACCTTCTCTATCTCCTCATCCTCCAACGCCTACCCCTCCAAATGTCACACTTCTACCAGCCGTAACCTCCGCAACCTTAACCCTGCCTCCCTCCACTCCGCAGCTGATCAACTCCATGACCGCATCCTCCCCCTGTCCTGCCCCGACTTGGCTATGACCGCCTACAACAATGCGCTGTCAACAGCCCTTGACTCACTAGCACCTTTAACCACACGCAACATCAGACCCCGACCGCTCCAGCCCTGGCAGACTGATCACACCAAAACCCTCAAACGACACATTCGTGCCCTGGAGCGACTATGGCGCAAATCCAAATCCCAACAAGCCTTCACCCGATACAAATCTGCCTTCCACACCTACACCTCCTCCCTCCATACTGCCAAACAAGCCTACTTCCTGACCCTCATCAATGCCCTCTCCTCCAATCCTCGCCGACTCTTCTCCACCTTCAACTCTCTACTCTCGCCACCCCCACCTCCACCCAGCACCTCACTCACTGCCCTTGAGATTGCCAATCACTTCAAAAACAAGATTGACACAATTCGCAAGGACATTGCCGCAACTCACACGCCTTCTCAACCCGTCCCCTCTCACACAGCTACCCCCTCATCCCCCCTCCCCCTCGACATAACCCACAGGGAGTTCATCGCTGCTCAAACTCCCTCCAACCCCCTTCCCCCTCACTCAGCTACCCCCTCTACACCCCTCTCCCACGACCCCACCACTGCTCTGACCTCCTCTCCCACCCCACCCTACATTCCTCATACTGAAGCTCCCCCAACACTCCGCACCTTTGACCTTACTACCATCGAAGAAGTCTCCAAGATCCTCTCTGATGCCCACCTCACCACCTGCCCCCTCGACCCTATCCCCTCACAACTCCTACAACCTCCCTCCCCCTCCATCCTACGCTCCCTCACCCACATCTTCAATCTCTCCCTCTCCTTCGGCACTTTCCCTTCCCCTCTGAAACATGCACACATCACCCCCATACTTAAAAAGCCCTCCCTGGACCCCAATGACCCGAACAACCTCAGACCCATCTCCCTGCTCCCATTTACATCTAAACTCCTCGAGCGCCTAGTCTACGCCCGCCTATGCTCTCGCCTCAACGACAACAACCTCCTCAATCCCCTACAGTCCGGCTTCCGTCCCCTACACTCCACCGAAACTGCTTTACTCAAACTCTCCAACGACCTGCTAACCGCCAATGCTAATGGCCACTATTCAGTGCTCCTACTCCTTGACCTCTCTGCGGCCTTTGACACAGTCGACCACCCCCTCCTCCTCAAAAAACTACACTCCCTCGGCCTCAGAGATTCTGCTCTCTCCTGGCTCTCATCCTACCTGTCACAACGCTCTTTCAGCGTTACCTATAATGCCACCACCTCCCTCTCACTCCCCCTCTCTGTTGGGGTCCCTCAAGGCTCTGTCCTCGGGCCCCTTCTCTTCTCCATCTACACCTCCTCCCTTGGCCAACTCATACACTCTCACGGCTTCAACTACCACCTCTATGCCGACGACACACAAATCTATCTCTCAACCCCCCACCTCACCCCCTCGGTCTCCGCCCGAATCACACACCTGTTGAGCGACATATCAGACTGGATGTCGCTCCACTTCCTTAAACTGAACCTCTCCAAAACCGAGTTTCTTGTCTTCCCTCCAGCCCGGACACCACCCCCCATTGACTTCTCCATCATGTCCAACAACGCCACCATCAAACCCGCCCCGCAGGCCAGAATACTTGGTGTCATTTTGGACTCCAACCTATCCTTCCAGCCCCAAGTCCACTCTTTAACAAACTCGTGCAGACTCCACCTCCGCAACATCGCCAAAATCCGCACGTTCCTAACTCCAGAAACCACTAAACAGCTCATCCACTCCCTCATCATATCACGACTCGACTACTGCAACTCCCTCCTCACTGGCCTGCCTCGCCGCTGGCTATCCCCGCTTCAGTCCATCCTGAATACGGCTGCCAGACTCATTCACCTTTCCAACCGCTCCGTTTCCGCCACCCCCCTCTGCCAATCCCTCCACTGGCTTCCGATTGCACAACAGATCAAATTCAAAATCCTAACGCTGACGTACAAAGCTGTCCACCATACTGCCCCGAACTACATCACTGACCTAATATCCAAGTACCGCCCAGCACGCACACTCCGCTCCTCACAAGACCTCCTTCTCTCTAGTTCCCTGGTCTCCTCCTCCCATGCCCGCCTCCAGGACTTCTCCAGGGTGTCACCCATCCTCTGGAACTCCCTGCCCCAACCCATCAGATTATCACCTACTCTCCTCTCCTTTAGGCGCACCCTGAAAACCCATCTCTTCAGGGAAGCCTACCCCGCCCCCTGCTAACTTGCCGACCTTCTCCACTCTTCCTACCACTCCATCCCCCACAGCTATCTCCTCCTGTGCCACCACCCCCTCCCTCCTAGATTGTAAGCTCGAAAGAGCAGGGCCCTCGATCCCCTCATGTTTTGCATTGTATTGGTATTGTTCTGTCACATGTTCTGTTCCCCTCTGTAATGTACAGCGCTGAGCGAACTATTGGCGCTTTATAAATACTGTATAATAATAATAATAATAATAATAAGTGAACTATTTAGCTACCTATTACCTGTATATTGCTTTGTCCTCTGTGCTTGTTTTTTCCAATTCTACATTAAGACCTTCTCTCCGGAAACTCTTCCTTACCTCCATCATGAACAGTTTAGTTTTTATTTCCAAATCTTTTGGTAGCAGGTTCCAACCTATATGCAAAAGGGACACATATAATATAAATGAGTCTCCATATGAACCAATATTTTCCCAGGCAAGGGAGCTAAACCATATCAGCGAGTTGCACAAATATTTGAGATTTCAGCAAATGAAGTATTCTTACACATATGATTTTGAACATCCTATTAAGACTGCAAAGTTAAAGCGGTTCTAAAGCTAAAAGGTTTTCTACCTTAATGAGTCCTGTATCGATCCAGTGCTTTATCCGGCCAGAGGTCTCCACCCCTGTCCTCTCACAGGCAGTTCATGTAGTAGTGGGAGCCATTGGCTCCTGCTGCTGTCAATCAAATCCTGTGAGCAGAGAGCGGGGAGGGGGGGGGGGCAACAAACTGGGTTGTGTGAGTCTATAGACACATGCAGCCTGGCTTGGAAGCAAACCAGCGAGTCTGCTCCATAGAAGTGGCTTGCTATGGCTGAAGACACAGAAGAGGAGGACCCAAGAAGAGGAGGTTCCAGACCAGGTGAGTATATCATGGTTATTATTTTAATAATTTAAAAAATTGCATTCGGAAACACTTTAATTCAAATACACCACAATAAAAATAATATTTTATAAGATAGTGAACTCCAAGTGAGAAATGGCCACCCAGGATAGTCTCACACTGTTAGCTAAAGAATAACTTCAGCAAACATTTTTTTCTCTAGTTTTAGGCACAGTTGTGAAGTGTGAAAAAAAACTCTGGCATTTTTTTACTGCTGTCTCTGTACTCACTTCCAATTCAGTAACTACTGGAACTGGATGGAATGTAAGTGAAATCTCCATATGTGGATACAGATATCAGGAACAAAAAAAACTTGACATGGTTTTAACCTTTTCTTAAGCTGGCCATATACCAGTAGAAATCTATTAGAAAGCTAAAATTTTCAGAAAGTTCTTTACATTTTTAATGGTTGGGAGGGTCAAAATGATGTTCATTTTCGATCACAGTGATGAGAACATTTGAAGGAGCAAGATGGAAATTTTTTCTTGAATGAACGCAATTCTGTGAAGGCAGTTTTCATTTGGTTAAAAATATACATATTGTAATGAAACCTGTTTAATATATACATACCAATAGCCGGTCTGGATGAAATTCTAAGAGCTTTCAAACAAAATTTGTTGACCAATTCTAAAACCAATAATTATACTATTTATGCCATAGTTACATTTGAAACATTTTTAAACCAATTTTTTTTCCAGTTTGAATAAGACCTTGTTCCTTTTGATATCCAGAAGGGCCTACATTACAGTATATTGCTGTACTCCTTTACCAGGTTTTAAAATATGACAATGATGTAAATCTGACTACTGCATGTGGTGGGTACACACTCCTAGAATTGTCCAGTGGCAAAGAGACTGGCAATCACAAAATTTCTGTTGGTAATTATTACTGCTCTTAAAGATAAAAGACTTGAAGTTTAGAAAGATATCACCGGGATTTCCTATGTGGTCACAATGTGTTTCATTATACTATGAAGTTTGTAATATACTTATGTATATCTTTGTTCTACAAATAAACATTTATTACATAACAAGGGAGGCCCAGAGCAGTACGGGTTAGCTACAGACAGCATAGCGAAGGTGGCATTTCAAAAAGCAAAATTCCGCTATGATTTAGAAATATCATTTGGTCAGTTGCTTAACCACTTCACGTTGACGATACGCAAATTAGCGTCTTCACTTCACTGGGCTTTATGCATACCTGTCTTTGTGCTGGGAGCACACCGCACAGCGCACTCCCAGCACAGAGATCGGGGCTTCACTGAGAGCCCTGGGACCCGTTCTAATGATCAGGACTCGCAATTCTGGGTCACCTGATCGTTGTGATAGCCTCTGATTGGCTATCACAGTGATCAGTCACTATGAAGACCGCCCCTGTGTTTTCTTTCTCTGAATGGAGGAGAGAGATACATTGTACCTCTCTCTGTCCTTTCAGAGAGGAAAAAAATCCCAAGTGTGTGTAAAATAAATAAATGAATAAAAAGAATAATAAAATATATATATATTTTTTTTTTTTAAATACCTAGATCAAGGTTTGATCTGGGTCATTGCCAGGGTTAGTGTTTGGGTTAAGATCAGGGTTAAATTTAGTATCATTGTCAGTTAGTGGCAGGATAAAAAAAATGCAAAATGCGCACTGTTGTTTTCTGGGCCATACTACGGGTACAAACAACAACTAACATACACACATGGTATTGCTGTGATTGTCAAGAGCAGGAGAAATGATTTTGGGTTGTTTTTTGGTTATGGAAGCAGCAAGAAATATTTTGTTTTTCAGGACGAACTGGGCTTTAATTTTGTGGTAAATGCTAATGGATATCTCCTGATTTTATTTTTATTATCAAAGGAAAACTGGGCCAAAATAGAAATAAAATATATATTTTTTTTTAATTTAGCTTTAGCTTTATTTGATAATAAAAATAAAATCAGGAGATATCCATTACCATTTACCACAAAATTAAAGCCAAATTTGTCCTGAAAAACAAAGTATAATCCACCTGGATACACAAAGGAGTTGTGATGATATGTACGGTTTTGCTAAAACATGTCAAAGTTGCAAAATTGTGCTTAGGTGTTAAGATTTGTTTTACCCTTAGGCATGAAGGGGTTAAACAGCCCTCAGAAGAGGGTGCAGCATTCATCATACACATTAGAACCACATTATATAAAATATCTAACATTGCATCTAAAGAATTTTTAAGATAAATATGTGTGAAGGGGTGATAATATTTTTATTTCAGGGTAAAGCAGGTTGCTGCCATTTGTGCAAAAAATAAATTACCTGAATTTAGGAGATCTCCTGAAGTCACTTGGCTCAGTAGAATTTCCCCCTTTGCTTCAGCAAGAGCCAATAATAAACTGTATGTCTTTAGGCATCTCTCACTGTCAAAGCAAAATTAGACAGAATGAACATCGTCAACATTTATATCACATTACCAATCTTCTAACAACATTGTTATTTTTTTATTCATTAAAATATATCTATAGACAAATTTGTAGTTTTGGATAGAGTAGGAAAGAATTAGAACTTCTGTCAGGTTCGTATTGTTGTTTGTTTCCCTGCTAGGTAGAGCCACTCCCAAAATCTCAGCAGGAGGTAAGAGGAAATTCTCCACTTGGCTATCTGTTGGGATGACAAAAGTCTACCAGGGGAATTCACCCCACTTTATTGGAAGTTCTACTGTGTCTCTGGGAGGGGAGGTTAAAGTGGAACTATCAGAAAATTAAGTCCTGATAGATCACTTCACACTTTTGCAGATATATCTATGTAAAACATTAAAAACAAGTTCCTATACTGTTTAAACTCCAGTAAGGCACTGTCTTGCCTAGCTCTACACATGCTCAGTTGCACTTGTAAGCAGGTTAGCTAGTCTGCCACTATTTATTTATTACAGGTACTTATATAGTGCCATCAATTTACGCAGCGCTTTACATATATGTTGTAGATTCACATCAGTCCCTAACCCTCAAGGGGTGTACAATCTAAGGTCCCTAACTTACATTCATACATACACATACTAGGGCCAATTTAGACAGGAGCCAATTACTCTACCAGCATGTCTTTGGAGTGTGGGAGGAAACCCACACAGGCACAGGGAGAACATGCAAACTCCAGTTCGATGATGCCATGGCTGGGATTTGAACCAACAACCCTAGTACTGCCAGGTGGAAATGCTAACTATTTAGCTATTGTGCTGTCCTGAGGGGCTCTGTCCCAAAATGTGGGGTAATAGAGAATGATGTAATTGAGCATTAGGTCCTCTTTTAGACAAAGCCTCCATGTAGGTATGTAATGGGTGGAGCTGGCGTCCATTTAAATACCAGGGTGGGTGGAATTGGCGTAAGGTGGGGCATGGGAACCAAACACCCCACAGCCAAGCAGGTGTAGTCAGCTACTGCGAAGGCCCTGCACAGGGCAGTAGGCCTGGCTGAGATTGTCTTACACCCAGATAAAACAGATGTAGTCTTCCTGACTTGAATCATGATCTAAGTGGACTTTGAGTGGGATGCAAAAGGCCAGGCTTAGTGTTTTCTGTCATGGGTACTAATACCCTGGAAGTTTAGAATCTTGCGGTGCAGCTGCTGCAGTCCTTGTTTTTGGAACGATGTGATGGAAGTCATGAACTGGATGCATAAAACCAAATAGGCAAGTCAGAGCCCTCGGAGTGAGACCTTGGGAGAAGTAGGGTAACATTTTGGAACGTATGCAACTGGGAAGAGCAACGGAGTGGGAAATAGAAGGACAGACAGGTAAACTGCAGACAACACCTTGTCTTGTTAATCTCAGCTGACAGAACAGGATGCTTCACTTTGTGAATCTCGGGTTGAATAGAGAAAAATGCTGCAGGTCTGGTAGAGAGAGAAAATGTTAAGAAAAGGTAATTTATGTGTGATGTTCAGTGTTTTCCTTTCACAATGACTGCTACAGATTTCCGACTTTTGTGTATGATGAGATATGGCGAAGACACCTGTCAGTATGTCGAAATGATGTGATGTGTCATCGCCATCTTTAAAAAATAAAACGTAAAGTGTAGAAAATATACTTTATAATATAATATAATCTTGTGTGGACATTCCTTTCTAAAGGAATAATGGTCTGAGATGTCATGGGTAGGCCTCTGGCAAGGAGTTGAGGACAAGATGGCTACTAACTACCAGCAGTGGGTTGTTGTCCTATCCAAGAAGAGAGGCGGAAGCTTGAGTTATTTGGTGCCAACAATCAGGCAATCAGAAGCCCCCTTACACACCCCATCCCCGACACTATAAAATGAAAAAATGAAAATGAAATTAAATAAGAGCCACTAAACGCCATTCTGCTGACAGTTTTAAGATTTGCTATTGCTGAAGGGGGAAGAAAGCAACAGGAATGACAAAGACTGTTCTGAGGGAGCACAGATTATGGAGGGATAAATGAAAAGCAGGGAGTTGACAGGGAAAACTCTGCTGCCAAGGAAACACAAAAGAGTAAAGCTGGGTACACACATACAATTTTTCTTTTTGTTCATCTGGGACATTGTATTCTGACATAGGGGGTAGTCCCCCACCAGAACCTACTATTGAGGAAGTCACATGATAAGCCAGGTGACTGAGTGCTGAGACCAGAAGTGACGCAGGAGCCGCAGCCCCGCTGTTCTTTGTGATTTATGCTTTGCTTTTTACCTTTTATGCAAGTGTCATTTCAATAAATCGGCAGTACATACTACACTATGGGAATCCCCTTTAGGCTCCATGCACATTAGCAAGGTTTTTTTAAGCGAAAAAAAAACTCTAGAAAAAACATTGGTAATAGCCTTTTTTAGTAGCTTTTAGGAGCATTTAGGAGCATTAGCGTTTATACAGTACATGTAGAAAAAGAGCTAGAAAAAAAAGCTGTTAGGAGCGTTTTAGGAGCGTTTAGTAGCGTTTAGTAGCATTTAGGACCAGTTCACACCACAAAAATGCAGTCCGGATGCATTCCAGATACGTTTTTGCATGCAGTTCACACCACACTCCATTCCGGTGCAGTTTTGATCCAATTTGCTATGTTCCAGTTTGATTCTATACAGAAAAAATGCAGCATGTTCTACTTTTTTTTTTGCACCAGAAACTGACTGGAACTGACCGCACCAGTGTGAACCAGGGCCATTGGAATACATGGAAAACACTGTACGTGCATTATTTATGCAGAAAAAAAAAACGTACTGGACTGCATCTAGTGTGAACTAGCCCTTAGCTTTTTTCTTCTGCTGGAAAAACGTTCCAAAAAACTCTTCAAAAATAAATCTTTTTTCTGCTCCTGGACGCTGAAGCTCAAAAAATGCTAATAGCCTAAAGTAGTGTGCATGAACACAAAGGATAATAGTGGTTAGCTTCTAGGAACAGAAAAAACCACTAGTGTGCATGGAACCTTAGGCTGGCCATACATTATACAATTTTCTTGAGATTTTTGGTTTAGATTTACCAAACACCATATAATAGGAGGTCAAACCTAAACACTTTCAATTGTATCCAATTAGACAGGCCCTTTCACTACATAGTTGAAGGTAAATCTAATGGAAATTGGGCAGAAATTGGACAGAAAATTGTATAGTGTATGGCCAGCCTTATTGTATGACTCTTCTGCAGAGGGAGATACCAATCTTTTAAAGGGCCACACACCCATTTATGTGGAAGTCATACACATCATCCCCAGGGACAATAGGAGGATTTATCCCAATTGAAGCTACAACCTGGAACTGGAAAGGAATCCCATAAAGGGGGAAAGAGTTTTATGATCTGGTGTTTTTGGCAGGTCTACCATTTGAGGTGAGCGTATTGGTGAACAGTGGTGGGAATCATCATGTTTGAATTTGATAAAGCACAAGAGGTGTCATATAAGAACTGGAGAAGCATATGTGTTTGGAATTTTTATCTTTGAGAGACTGAAATAATGATTATAAGGGGATATTCTAACACTTCACTGGAGTCTTGCATATTGTTACTTTTACACTTTATTATATTATTTATATTATATATAGATATTTATATTATATATATTATATTTGATTATTGTACGTAGCATTGAATGAATATTTATCATGGTTTTAGTACTGTTTTATTTTGGTATACATTTGTGTATGCACATGGAAGCACTGTTTTGATATCTAAATAGAGGGGTAGGTGCAGCAATATTTTATTTATTATTTTGCATAGCTTGTGGGAACACAATTTCTTTCTTGCGACCACCCATATAGGTTTTTTATATACATTAAAATTCATGGCATTATTTATTTATACACTGTATTTCACATTTGGAGGCGTGACAGTAATTTTAAATTTACATTGGGAGAAGGGGCTTTCTCAACTATGCACACCTCCGGTCCGTATGCATGAGCTAAGGGCAAATGGATTCGGGGAAGCAAATGCTACATGAATCATATGTCCTTACTCAAGATTGTTGTGGCTAGAAATAATAGGGGGTGTTTTTCAAAGTTATTAAAAAAAAAAAGCATGGAGACATGGATGGATTTGAGAGTTTGCTTTGGAGTTGGCTAACATGTAAAAAATATATATATAAAAAACGTTTTCGGTTTGTGGTGCTCAGATACAGTTTAATTCTGTGTTATGGAAATCCCAATTGCTTTAATGGAATACAGTTCTACTTAGAGGAGCAATGCCTATAAAATATAGAAATGTTGTTTTCTATGTTCTCACCTGGCTTGCAGGGCAAGTCTCAAAGCTGTGCATGTGGATTCCAGTTTTCCAAGATGCATACTGAGTTTTTCTGAATCAGTCTTACACTCTTCTAGGGTCACACTGAGCTGGTCATTCAGTTCTTTTACATTGTCAAGGTACCTGTAAAATGACAAACCATAAGTACACAGTCGATGCCAAAGGCAACAAGGCTGTTGGCTTCCCCAATGATATAATAATTTGAATTGCTCTCTGACCTTGTTTAGGTACAGTCAGTATAATGGATTGCTAATCTGGTTCACACAATTTGATAAAGCTATGATGCTGTGATTTAGTTTTACTGAAATAAAGTGTCGCCCACAGTGTCTGCCTGCACTTACCCTTTTAAACGTCTCATTTCAGTTTCCAGGCTACTTGGATGGATATCAGAATTACTAGTCAGTGAAGACTGGGATCCAGGGAGGCTCTGAACATACTGTATGACACCGTGCAGGACTGTCACAGGGCCCTGTACAAAAAGACACACATGATTTCTATATTATTGGTTTGAATTACTAAAGTAATATAGTCTGTTCACCTAGCAAAGTCCCTTTAAAGTTGTACTAAACTCAAAACAGTAAAATCAGTCTGTAAATGCAGTAAAGCATGCTTGTTATACTCATTGTGGAACCTAAGGGGTTAATCCTCTGAATTGTGTAAAAATGCTGTTTGATCCTGAGTTCTCTGATCCTCCCTTTCTTCCAGTGTCACCCTCCTATCTCCTGATAGACATATCGTGTGGAGTCACTCTGCACATGCTCAGTTTGGTGTGTATTGCTAGAGAGGTTTTTTTTTCCTTAGGAGAGTGCATGTGATCAGCACAGGGCCAATCAGCACTGTCCAGACAGAGGTCAGGGGTTCTGCATCCTCCTAAAGCAGAATGAAAACTCCTCCTACAAGCTTTAACATGTGCTTTGCTGGACACTGATAGAAGTAACAAAACTGCTATACACTGCTGATGAGAAAAGGTATTTAGCAGTTTATATTTACTAAAATAATTGTATTGCCTTGTTCTGTGCACAGTGGGAGACCAGATATAGTGAATGCAGGGTCCTGGGTTTATTAACACTTTAATTTTAGCTCAGTGAATGAAGTAACGCTTAGCTGGCTTTAAAGCAGTGTTAAACCCAAATGCAAACATTTATTATATTGCAGCTTACCAATTCTTACCTGGCTGCAGTCAATTTCTTTTTTAGGCTTTCTTTCTTATATTTTATATGGTGATCCAGTCAGCAAGTCTGTGATTTTTTACGATTTATGTTTTTTTACTGGTTACAGAGAGAAACCATTTAACAATAGCAGGGGTGCTTAAAATAATCACATTTTATTTATGTAAAATCCTTTATCCCAAAAGGAAAACAACTGTTTGCTGTAACTGATTATGAAGTATTAGCTGGAGTATGGCTTCATTCTGTTAGTGTATTTAAATCTGCTAGCACATTTAACACACCCCCCTTCCCAGACTGACATTGCTGCAGGCCAAAGGTGATCCAGAGTGGGGGCACTCTAATACAGGAGGTGTGTTACTGGCTAGATCACCAGGTGGGATACAGGGATATGGGAAATGGTGTTGACATAAAAACACACACACACCCACACCAGCACTGATAGGTGGCACTGACTGGCATCACTGCTGGGTACTGACTGTTGGCACTGCTAGGCATTGACTGGTGCAACTGATGGGCACTGACTGGCACAACCACTGGGCACTGACTGGTGGCACTGACTAGCAGCCTTGCATTGATGGGTACTGGTGGGTGGCACTGGTGAGCACAGGTGGGTGGCACTGGTGGGCACAGGTGGATGGCACTGCTGGGTACAGGTAGGTGGCACTTCTAGGCACAGGTAGGTGGCACTGCTGGGCACGGTGGGTGCACTGCTGGGTGGCACTGCTTTGCACTGGTGGGTGGCACCGCTGGGCGCTGGTGGGCGGCACTGCTGGGCACAGGTGGGCGGAACTGGTGGGTGGCACTGCTGGGCACCAATCATCAGGGCACTGATCATCAGTGCTCTGATGATCAGTGCCGATCCCTGCTCTGACAACTGCCGGTTCTCAGCACTACTTTCCTCGTGCTCTAACAGCGTGAGGAAAGTGCAGCCGAGAGAGAACCGGCAATTGTGTCATTGGACACGGCTGATCACGTGGTAAAAGACTGCTGTGATTGGCCTTCTTTCCTGCTGCTGGCAGCACTCTGGAGAACCCTACCCGGGATAAGAGGTGGAGTGCAGTTGGTATCACTCCATATGGGACAGGAGCCAGCGCTACAGAGGAGGCATCAGCCTATGCAGCTTTTACTCCCTATTACAGCGCCAACTTTACAAGTAGTCCCTCTGCATTGCACTTTGTTTGATGCGCTGGGATGGCAGGTCAACAATCCCAGACTGTGATCTACCAGTCACCTGAACGCGATCTACTGGTAGATTACGATCTTACGGTTGCTGACCCCCGATTTAGATTACCCACTTGCGGACCCACTCCTGTAGATATACTGCTACAGGGCAGCTGCTGTGCTCTGGATCACATATATATACGTAATCCAGAATTTCCGGGTAGGGGCACGTGTGCTGCTCCTGCCGCCCCATCTGTGCTCTCATTCATTACAGCACAAGCCAATCAGCAGGTCCAGGCCAATGATTTATGGCTGGGAGCCACTGATCGGCTGAGTAAATGACAAAACCGAGCTCTGTGTTGACAAACAACACAGAGCTCTGTACATACAGCAGCAATGTGTCTGCTTTTTTTTTCTCTCTGCAAAGCAGGGAATAAAAACAGGCACATTGTTAGGCATACAATTAACCCTTTGATTGCCCCAACATGTTAACCCCTTCCCAGCCAGTGTCATTAGTACAGTAACACTGTACACTGAATGTAAACAAAAGAATGCCAACATCAATTTTTTTTAAAAAAATGCACCCTTTGGGTCTGGTATGGATTTTAAAGGGAACCCCATGCCAAATTTGTTTTCAAAAATAGTGTGGGGTCCCCCTTAAAATCCATACCAGACCCTAAGGTCTGGTATGGATTTTAAAAGGGAAACCCATATCAAAATAAAAAAAAAACAGCATGCCCCCCCCCCAATCCATACCAGACACCTATCCAAGCATTCAGCCTGGCAGGCCAGGAAATGGGAGGGGGAATGAGCAAGCGCACCCCCCCCTCCTGAACCATACCAAGTCACATGCCCTCAACATGGAGGGGGGCTCCTTCCTCCAAAGCACCTTGTCCCCATGTTGATGCGGACAAGGGCCTCTTCCCCACAACCCTGGGTGGTGGTTGTGGGGGCCTGTGGGTGGGGGGTTTAATAGAATCTGGAAGCCAGATCCCACCCCCACCATGTGAATGAGTATGGATTACATAGTACCCCCTACTCACATACAAGAAATAAGTAATGTAAATAAAGACAGGAGCCAGTTTTTGACAAGTACTTTATTAAAAAAAATAAAATTGTCCCCTGCTGTAGATCTATCGTCAATCACGATGAACAGCACTCCGCCAACCCACATTAAAAAAAAAAGAAGTCTATATCCGACGTTGGATCCCACTGAATGACAGCTCCACTTTGTAGCTGCCGCTAAATAAACTAAGGAGGCGAGGCCACCTAATGACGTTTCGAAGGAAGGGGTTTTTGCTCTTAAGCACTGAAATAAAAATGCCTCTAGAAAGTGTGCATGGACACATAGGATAACATTAGTTGCTTCTAGAGGCATTAAAAAAAGAGAAGCTAACGCCTTGAGAAGCAGTGTCTATTTTAAGACAGTGTGCATTGAGCCTAAAGGTCACAATTACAACAGCAGAAGCTGTGAACCATGCATGTTTCCATTAAAACAAGTGTTGGCAGCTATTGTGTGTAGAAAGTAACTGCTTGGATGACCTGCCTTAGTGAAATCACTGTCAGTCTACTGGTGCTTAGATTGCTGTCTCATGAGCTGGAACATTTCTGCACAGGGTGAGGCTGCTATGCTATTGTTGAAAAAAAATCTATTTTCTACACCATAAACTGCAATTTATTTATCCTCTTGTTTCTTGAACTATAGTGAGTCTTTTGTCTGTTCTCAACATCCCCTGTGGCTACTTCTAGTCTATTGGCTAAGAGCATCCACAAGTCCAGAGGTGGGCAGAAAAGGTAAACACAATAAGAAAAAAATGATCACAACTGACTGGGCTTGGTGCAGCTTTCCTCAACCTGCTGTCCCAGGCACTGGCCTAAGTGTGGCATAATGATTAATACAGTTCTGGTAAAGCCAATGATTATTTAATCAGCAGAAAAGAATAGAGAATATAAAATAATTTCAGCTTGCAGTTATTACTTGATACAATCAATTTTAGGCTCAGTTCACACTATACAGGCTGGTTGAGAGTTTGGGAATTACACCTGTTCCTGCACCCACAAACACCTACAGCCAAATCGCACTGATTTTGCAAGACTCGTGGGGCTGCCATTCATTCTGTGTTTGTGGGTGAGAGAACTGCAGGGAAACTGTATGGTCAAAATTACTATGTGGCTTTCATGCAGCCGCATTTTCAAAAAGGTGCATGTACCTTTTTCTGTGGAAACTCGGGCAAAACAGCCCATTCAATTTAATGGGCTGCCATGCCTGAGCAAATGTGGGCCACATAGTTCGCAATTGTGTGAACCTAGCCTTATACTATATGCTGACCTATTGTTTTCCAATTCCTACTGGAATTTAGTTGTTTGTTTCAAGTTGTGTTGCATTAATTGTTATAAGGTACATAATACCCCATGCATTCAGGACCTCCCAATAAATAGCACTAAGCAGAAGGAGCTCTACTTTTGCTATTCGTATCCTCCAACAGTTATGTTGTTTAGCTTCAACTGGATAGCTTTCCAAGGACTCAGCCCACTCATCAGACTGTTTTAGTGCTTTTTACTCACTTTTATTCATCCAAACATCAAATAAAAAAAACTGCTGCAAAGTGACTGCAGAGCTCAACCTCAGCTTTCACGGGACTGAGATTGAGCTCTGCAGTCACTTTTGCAGCTGTTGTTTCTTTATTTTGGGTCACAACCCTTTGCAATGTCCTTTTGTCGACCAGAAACTGTATATGTCATCATAACCTTTGATACTGTACCTTGCTACACCGCAAAAAAATTGGTAACTTCTGTCACAGATGCCCCACCTAAGGGGGCACCAACAATTTTCTCTCTTTGAAGCTCAATAAGCTCTGACATTACTAGCAGCACACAGTGAATGATGAAAATGAAGCTTCCCACCTGTTATCTAGGTGTCTCATCACACAGCAGAAGCAAAAGAATGTTACATCACTTCTGCTTTCAATGCAAAACATGTATATACACACACAGTATATTGCCAAAAGTAAGCATGTAAGCATGCAGTTGTAGGGAGCTTTCATACTTCATATACTTCAATAGGTTGCGATTGGCAGGCAGTAGCACCCACCAAAAGCAACTGGGGGGTTTAATTCCTGCTATGGTATGTGTACACCTTTGGATGCTGCCTCAGCAGCTAAAGGGGGTAGGGATTGGGGGCAGTAAATCTGTGACTCAGCCTAAGGGTTTTACCATCCCCCAACTGTACCTGTGAACAAGCCCTAAGGGTGCCCTTGCGGAATGCAACTAAGGGTTCATTCAAAAGTGCAGCAGGCACTGCTGTTCCTCTGAAAAGGGATCCAAGTGTGTTTGATAGGTGTAAGGAGGCAATATGTTGCCTCCTCACTGCCTGATTTAAACCTATAATTGTCGTGCAAAGCTTGCAATTGCGACACAGTAGTACGACAATTAGAGGTTTAAATCAGGTTTGCAGAGGCGACATTGGGCAACACAGTGCCCAGTAATCTTTGACTTCTCCTATGTTGTTCCGGTAGATCTCCACCTCTTTAAAGTTGCCTACCCCTGGTCTATAGAAACCAAAAATGATGCAAATATTACAGAAAACATATTACAAAACAGACATATAAAAAGAAAAACTTCACCCTACACCTAATCCCTATAAGCAGTCAACACATCATATAAACAGTGATATGACAAATATATAATAACTGAAAGTGCAGCACTAAAACAGTAAAAATATAAACTGTAATCATAGAATGATGCCAAGAAGAAAATCTTTGCGGTAAAAAAACCTGATATTGGTTTAAGGGCATTGCAACTTTATCAATGATCATGTAAATAGAGTACAAATACACTATATTGCCAAAAGTATTGGGCCAGCCCTCCAAATCATTGGATTCATGTGTTCCAATCACCTCCATGCCAACAGGTGTATAAAATCAAGCACCTAGGCATGCAGACTGCTTCTACAAACATTTGTGAAAGAATGGGTCGCTCTCAGGAGCTTAGTGAATTCAAGCGTGGAACCGTGATAGGTTGCCACCTGTGTATTAAGTCCATTCATGAAATTTCCTTGTTACTAAATATTCCACGGTCAACAGTTAGTGGTATTATAACAAAGTAGAAGCAACTGGAAACAACAGCAACTCAGCAACGAAGTGGTAGACCACGTAAAATGACAGAGCGGGGTGCATGCTGAAGTGCACAGTGCGCAGAAATCACCAACTGTCTGCACAGTCAATAGCTAAAGACCTCCAAACTTCCTTTGGCCTTCAGATTAGCACAACAACAGTGCATAGAGAGCTTCATGGAATGGGTTTCCATGGCTGAGCAACTTCATCTAAGCCTTACATCACCAAGTGCAATGCAAAGCATTGTATGTATTGATTTAAAGCACGCCACCACTGGACTCTAGAGCAGTGGAGACGTGTTCTCTGGAGTGACGAATCACGCCTCTCTGTCTGGCAATCTGATGGACGTGTCTGTGTTTGGTGGTTGCCAGGAGAACGGTACTTTCCTGACTGCACTGTGCCAAGTGTAAAGTTTGGTGAAGGGGGGATTATGGGGTGGGGTTGTTTTTCAGGGGTTGGGCTTAGCCCCTTAGTTCCAGTGAAGGAAACTCCTACGGTGTCAGAATACCAAGAGATTTTGGACAATTTCATGCTCCCAACTTTCTGGGAAGACTTTGAAGATGGCCCCTTCCTGTTCCAATATGACTACACACCAGTGCACAAAGCAAGGCCCATAAAGACATGGATGAGCTAATTTGTAGTGGAGGAATTTGAATGGCCTGACCTCAACCCAATAGAACACCTTTCGGATGAATTAGAGCGAAGACTGTGAGCCAGGTCTTCTCAACCAACATCAGTGCCTGACCTCACAAATGTGCTTTTGAAAGAATGGTCAAACATTCCCATAGACACACTTCTAAACCTTGTGGACATCCTTCCCAGAAGAGTTGAAGCTGTTATAGCTGCAAGGGGTGAGCCAACTCAATATTGAACACTACGGACTAAGACTGGGATGCCATTAAAGTTCATGAGCATGCAAAGGCAGGTATCCCAATACTTTTGGCAATATATTGTGTATATATACTGTATATACTAGGATTTTTTTCAGCTGGAACATTGTTCCAGTACCTCTGGCAGCCTTCTCCTCTCCAATCTGTCATTTAACACAGAAGCCAGTAGAGGAAGTTTTCTGCACAGATCACTTCCTCTACTGGCGTCTCTGTACTAGGGAGCCCTGGTGAGTGCTTCGGCTCCCAGCACCACAATCTACAGCTGCCTGTGGGGTTGGGAGGCAACTTCTGTCCTGGCTACCACTGCTGTGTGCCTACCTTGTGCAGAGAGGAGAGCTGGGGAAATTTGTTGAGAGAGAACTGTGAAAGTGTGTGTGTGTGTGTGGGGGGGGGGAATATGATGTGCAGAGAGGACTGTGAAAGTGTGGGGGAATATGTGTAGAGGAGAGTTGAGGGGAATTTGTGCAGGGAGAACTATGAAAATGTGTGTGTATGTGTGTGTGTTGGGGGGGGGGGGGTAGCAGAGAGCAGAGCTTGGGGGAGTTTTGCAGAGAGGAGAACTAGTAAAGTGGGGGGTATTTGTACAAAGAGAACCGTGAAAGTGGGGTGGGGGGGTTAGTAGAGAGGAGAGCTGGGGGATTTGTGCAGAGAGGAAAACTGGAGGGGGGTATTATAGAGGGAGAAGTGTGAAAGCGTATGTGTGGTGTATGGGGGAGGGGGAATTTATGCAGAGAGGCGAGCTGGGAATTTTAGCAGAGATGAATTATTATTATTATTATTATACAGGATTTATATTGCAACAATTTTCTCACCACTTTACAATATAAAGGGAGACAATACAAAGAAAAAAAGCCCTGTGTGGGTGTATATACATATATATTTCTTTTTTCAAACTTTCACTATTGTATTTGTCATTTGTGTACCTGACAAGGCTTTAACTGAATGTGTGACTCAGATCCAGAAGTCACATTATACCCTTCTTCAGAGCAGGGACTGGTAGATGGTGAGATCGGAGGGGTCAGCTCATCATCCTGAAGAATGTCTTCTAACCTCTTTAACTGTAAATAGAGAAAGTGAGAATGAAAATAAGAATGTACACTGAATGTCTATTAATGAAATTATAAAAAGAGAAAGTAGCTGTACTAGACAATTTATCCATCCGTAAGTGGATACAACAAAATTTCTCATATTTGCGCATTCTCCAAACCACTAGTAGAGGACCATTCACACTTAATGACTAAAGCCAGGTTCACACCTTTGCACTGGAGTAAAGTGTATATTACCACAACTCATGGTACCACACCACAAATGTGCTAGTACTTTGCAGTAATATTCATTTTGGTTGGCATCCCAAAGCATTAAAGCAGCACACTGCAACACATAGCAATACACTACTGCTCATGGCATTCCCAGAATAGAGTCAGGTGCAGTTTCCTGTGCACTTGGGTGCATTGGCATAGCATTCAATATTAATGGGCTGCCTTATTGCAGTGCACATTAGCAAAAACGCAATGTACTGTATATTAAACACAAGTGCGTTATTGCATTACATAGATGTGCTCTTAATTGCCTTAAACTTCATGTCTGACGTGGATTGTACACCAGACAATTGTAACTCCCTAAAGACGTGCAGTATTTGTGCTTTTCTGCTGATTTGTACATTGATTTGTCACCCACACCAATATACAGTCATGGCCAAAAATATTGGCACCCCTACATTTCTGTCAGATAATGCACCGCTTTACCCACAAAATTGTTGCAATTACAAATGTTTAGGCATTCTAATGTTCATTTCTTTTTGTTTGTATCGGTATGACACAAAAAAGTGGAAAAACAAATAGCCAAATCTGACACATTCCACAACTCCGCAAAACCCACAAGAATGGACTGGACAAAATTATTAGCACCCTTGATTAATATCTGATAGCACATTCCTTAGAAAAATTAACTGAAATCAATTCAATTCATCAATGAGTTTCTTACACCTCTACTGGAATTACTGCTCCAGGTCTCTCAGATTGGAAGGGTTCCTTTTCCTAACTGCTGTTTTGGGATCTCTCCACAGGTGCTCTATGGAATTGAGATCTGGACCATCATTGCTGGCCAGTTCAGTGCTCTCCAGCGCTTTGTCTGAAAGCACTTCTGGGTGCTTTTTGACGTGTGCTTTGGGTTATTGTCCTGTTGTAAGACCCATGATCTCTGATGGAGACCCAGCTTTCTAACAATGGGCCCTTCATTGCACCCCATAATTCTTTGGTAGTCTTCAGATTTCATAATGCCATGCACACAGCCAAGACATCCAATGCCTGAAGCAGCAAAGTAACCCCAAAACATCAGTGAACCGCCACCATGTTTGACTGTGGAGACTGTATTCTTTTCTTTAAAGGTCTCATTTCTTTTTCTGAAAACAGTAGAATTATGGGCTTTACCAAAAAGTAGTAATTTTATTTCGTCTGTCCACAGCCATTTCCCAAAAGGATTTTGGCTTCCTCAGGTAAGTTTTAGCAAACTCCAATCTAGCTTTTTTATGTTTCTGTGTCATCAGTGGGGTCCTCCTGGGTGTCCTACCAAAGCGTCCATTTTCATTCAGTTGGCGACATACAGTATATATATATTCGATTTTTAGACTGATCATTTCGGGAAGTGTTCGGGAAGTGTCCCTCCTCCCCGGGCTCTCTCAGTCTCTGTCGTCTCTCTCCTCAGATCCAGAGCCCACTTACTCCTTATATCCTTACCGCTCCATCCATCCCACCCTCTCATGGGCCCCCCCTCTGGCCACCGGCTCTTGGGCAGTGCCCTAGTGCTTGAATGGTCAGTCCGCCCCTGACTGTGGGTACCCCAAAGCTCTACAGAGCCAGGCAACAGGTATTTTCACACAGACTTGCATCCAAGAAACAGTAACCAGTCCATGGCCTTGCCTTTTGTTATTGTATTAGAGGAAATACCTTGGAGAGGGAATTAGGGATTATGGGATGCCCAGTTTGGCTTGAATCAACAAAAGGGGGACAACTTGCTTCCTATGTATAAAAATAGATCCTGGACTGTTCTTTTCCTTGAAAGCTGTTAGTCTTTGTGGATCAGTAGCAACATCCTTTTATGGGTGAGGAACTAACAGCCCCTCAAAAATCTGCTTAGCTTCTTGTAACTATACTGCTTAAAAAAATTATTGGAACACTTTTTAATCAGAGTATAGCATCGAGTCAATTAAACTTCTGGGATATTGATCTGGTCAGTTAAGTAGCAGTGGGGGTTGTTAATCAGTTGCAGCTGCTTTGGTGTTAATGAAATTAAGAACAGGTGCACTAGATGGGCAACAATGAGACGACCCCCAAAACAGGAATGGTTTACCAGGTGGAGGCCATTGACATTTTTTCTCTACTCATTTTTTCTGACTGTTTTTCACTAGTTTTGCATTTGGCTAGGGTCAGTGTCACTACTAGTAGCATGAGGCGATACATGGACCCTACAGAGGTTGCACAGGCAGTCCAACTCCTTCAGGATGGCACATCAATATGTGCCATTGCCAGAAGGTTTGATGTGTCTCCCAACACAGTCTCAAGAGCATGGAGGAGATTCCAGGAGACAGGCAGTTACTGTAGGATAGCTGGAGAGGGCCATAGATGGTCCTTAACCCATCAGCAGGACCAGTGTTTGCTACTTTGTGCAAGGAGGAACAGCATGAGCACTGCCAGAGCCCTACAAAATGACCTGCAGCAGGCCACTGGTGTGAATGTCTCTGACTAGTCAGAAACAGACTTCATGTGGGTGGCCTAAGGGTGCGATATTCTCTAGTGGGCCCTGTGCTCACTGGCCGGCACAGTATATCTCGATTGGCATTTGCCATTGAACACCAGAATTGGCAGGTCCACCACTGGTGCCCTGTGCTTCTCACAGATGAGAGCAGGTTCACCCTGAGCACATGTGATAGACGTGAAAGGGTCTGGAGAAGCCATTGAGAATGTTATACAAAAAAGTAATGTGGCGCTACTACCATAGAAATCCTTCACATATTGACACACTGAATTTGCATAAATATAAGTGAAATAGTGCAAATGAGTGAACAAAGACCAAATCAACAATACATAAACCGTGATGGACAACAGTGTAAAATTACCTCACACAATAACACGTGTAACAAGTGCCAACCAACAGGTCCAATTAGGGACCAAGCTTAGGATGATAATGCCCCAAATGATCCAAATGGATCTAATAGTGATCAACAGACAACATAAAAAGTCCAAAAAAGGGACTCAGCATAAATGCGTGCTGTAAAACCTCCCACCAGAACAAGTAAATTGTTCCAACCAGCCCCTAATGAAGTCACGTGACAAGCGTGACGATAAGTGTCGGCGGTGACGCACTTCCGGTCGGACGCCATCTTGAGACACCTTGGACACCCATGCAACTACATCTGATCTGAGGTTTGAATTAAATGCGATTGGAAAGATGATATATAATGTGAGAGCATATTAAATGTTATGCTGCCTATAACATCGTTCAGCATGACTGTTTTGGTGGTGGGTAAGTGATGGTCTGGCGAGGCATATCCATGGAGGGACGCACAGAACTCTGCAGGCTAGACAATGGCACCCTGACTGACATTAGGTATCGGGTTGAAATTCTTGGTCGCATTGTCAGAGCCTACGCTGGTACAGTGGGCCTTGGGTTCCTCCTGGTGCACGACAATGCCCGGCCTCATGTGGCAAGAGTATGCAGGCAGTTCCTGGAGGATGAAGGAAATGATACCATTGAATGGCCCCCACACTCGCCTGACCTAAAGCCAATAGAATACCTCTGGAATATCACGTTACAGTCCATTCGACGCTGCCAGGTTGCACCTCAGACTGTCCAGGAGCTCAGTGATGCCCTGGTCCAGATCTGGGAGGAAATACCTCAGGACACCATTCGTTGTCTCATTAGAAGTATGCCAGGTCAGGCATATAAGCACGTGGGGGCCATACAAACTACCGAGTGCCATTTTAAGTGGCTGCAATGAAATTTCAGCAAAATCATTTTTTCACATTCATTTTCGGGGTGTCTTTGAATTCAGTCCTCTGTAGGTTGATCATTTTCATTTCCATCAAACAATGGGGCATCCTTACGTTCCGAACACATTACCCAACCCATATCAGTATAGATATCCAGAATGATATTTCTCACCATTGAGATCTGATGTGTTTTCAAAGTGTTCCTTTAATTATTTTGAGCAGTGTACATGCAGAGATATCTTCTCTCCTCCTTTAGAGCTGCTCCCAGCTCCACAGCTTGCAGACACTGCCAGCCTTCCTGGCTGCTCAGAAGATCTCCCGGGACATGGATAAAGGATTGAGCCCAGCGCTGCTACATATGGCAGGCTTTCCCCCTTGTGGATCCCAAGGAGTGCTGATGTATTTACTCTGTCCTCTTTGCTCACACTGCTCCAGGTCGTGATCCCATTCATGCTGCACTGCTGAATGTATCCTCCTGAGCCAGCCTGAGCCCAGCCTGGAAGCAGCCCCCCTCAGACCTATGGGACCCCCTCCCAGGCACCAACAGTTTCCTCAGCACTCCATCTTCCACCCAACTCCTCTGTCAGTCTGCCTTTCCCATATTTATGGGCCAGTCCACCACTCTACCAGGGCCTCCAAACTTGGCATTAGCCATACTCCCATAAACATGCAGATTAGGTCTCCACCTCTTCCTGCTTACTAACTTTTGGAAGGTTCTATGACCCTCCAGAGTCAGGAGGAGGCGATAGAGCCACAACCTGTTAAATCATCCAGCTGGCCTGCAATAACCCAACCTCAATCATAGGCTCGCACAGTTACTATGAGTCATACACAATGATTTTACCTGCAATACACTACACTATTCTAGTAGCACACTAGAGAGTGCCACATGTGAAATCAAATCTTATCCTGCAGCAGTATATTTTGTCTGGTAGTTGATAGATTCTTTAAAGTGGTTGTAAACCCTTACATGTACCCAGTGAACTGACTGGCCTTGGGTGATACACAGAGAAGAAAAAAATCATACCTACATAACGTGCCAGTTTATCTGCAGCTGTCTTTTCCCTACATGCAGGAACAGAAACAGAGTTGAGGTTGTCAGTCACAAACTGTGCCCTTTCGTCATCATTTTTCTCTTGGTATCAGGAAAATTCATCAGAAGCTTATAGCAAAAAAATGAGGCAGCAGACAGATTTGACACTTAGTACAGTAGATTGAGACATGCACACACTATAGAGGGATATGCTTTGTTCATAGTTCATGTCTGAGGTTTAAAACAACTTTAAGTGGAATTGTGTGTTTCTGGGATTATACAGTATTCGCTCTGTTTAGCTCTATCATCCTGTACAGTAATGTAAATACCTTTATATGCAGCATCTCCTTTTCTTCCTTGAACAATGTGAGTGTGGCTCTTGACCTATCCAGTTCCCTGTCTGTGAGCCCAAGTTTGCCTCTTAGGACAGCATTATCCTCCTTATAACGTTGGATTTCTGACTTCAGCATGCTGGTGTCCTCATTCAGAAATGTACCAGAGGTTATCTGTGTTAACATCAGACACGTGACTTTTGTGAGCATATTATACTCCCACACCTAATATCTAAATGGATACATTCTCATTGTGTTTTCATTTGGTTTTCATTTGGCTGTGGCTAGAACTCCCAGGAAACCGTCCAGTACCCTGGAACTGTTTTTGTGAGCCCACAAAAATGTTTACTGGAGGGGGTGTTCACCCCACTTGGCAGCAAAGAACAGCTCATGGGATTCCCACATTCCTGTTACCATCAAATACCACCTTTATCACAATCCAAATGATCGACTCCATTTTCAGTTTTTAATATGTTTTGATATTTTTTACTGCATTCTTTACTACTTAAAATCTTTCTTAATCATGGGCAATTCAAATAAAAGTAGAATTCCAGGCTTAAAATAACTAGTCTTAAACTGTCCCCTCCACCTTCTAACAGCTTTGCTGACTAACCTGTGTAAAAAAGCTGTATTTACTTACCTATTCTCAGCCCGCTCTGGTCACATGACCCTGCTCTGGTGTGTCAGTCAGTAGTGGCTGCAAGGCAGAAGAGGGAGCACCAACAATGAACGGGTAACTAAAGCCTATGGGTGATGTCACTACGCCCAGGCATTCCCAGCAATTGTCAACCATGCTCCCCTCTCCCCTACAGAGAGGATCACCTGACCAGATCGGGCTGATAATAGGTAAGTATATACACCTTTCTTTGCAGGTTAGTCAGCATAGCTGTTGGGAGGTGGGAAGGAGCATTGCTAAGATTAGTTAGGTTTAGTCTGGAATTCTAAATTGAGCACCTAATAAAAAATGCATAAGCGGACATTACCCTCAGTGAAAACCACGTCTGCATTTATATGTAAATCTCCACTTTTCCTGTAAAGGTTGAACTTGGTAATATTCCCCCCAAAAGCTTAGCTTCCCTATTTATCTTCCTAAATTGCCAAGAGAGAGATGATGGTTACAAGTTTGATCATTTTGGAACCTAGGTTATTTTTCTGGATCCACTAGGACCCAATAATTTCAGCATCCATCCACGCATTCTGTATGGCTACCATACCAGCCACCTAAAAAAAAAAAAAATCTTGTTATACAAATAAATGAAGCCTTACAGGATGTATTTATGGAACAGGAGTCAGAAAACAGTTAATTGGTCAGTCCTACCAATGAATATTATTATAGGTGGATGCTGCTGAGCTGAACCTGTCTTCTGATATCTCATTAGATGCCTAGTTGTGGGATTTTGTTAGCCAGAGATTCTTATTCTGTTCTTGATACACTCATTTCACTCCTCCTGCTGCAGCTAAAGGAATCATTCAACTACTACAATTTTTTGGTATATAAAATGAGTGGAGAATCCAACAGGAAGAGTGAGACCCCCACATAATAGCCACAGGAGAAAAATCAAGCTAGGTACAAAGGTGCAGAGATCTATCCACAGATGTCCTTTAGGTATATCAAATATAAACAGAAAACCGTATACATTTTTCTTGTATCAGCAACAGGAATGCCGCACACTGAGATGCAAAATCATCTTTCTTTTTTAAAATAGCCAGCAGAAACAAATTCTATTCTAACATGTTCTGTGCACGGCAAAACACTTTCACAAATTCTTTCTTTCTTTGAAAAAGCTCAGTGCCTAGCACGAAACATGTCAGAATAGAATGTTCCTGCTGGCTTTTTTAATAAAGTGGGAATATTTTGCACTTCAGTGTGCAGCATTCCTGTTGCTGATGCAAGTGATTGCCTTGATGGAGACAGACCGAGCCAGCACCTGAATGCAGGGCCTGATCTTGCCTAGAGCAACGTGTGAAATATTTGAATGGATGTATTATACCTCATTTAATTCCTCTATGACTGCAGAGGAAGAGTCACCAGTACTAAAAGGTACATTCAGGGGAGTTGTTTCTCTTTCATCCATTGACTTTTCTCTTGATGGATTCCTCCAGGACAATACACATGTCTCCAGAGAAGAAATGACCTCTTGTAACTGCAGGAAGACATCATTTTGGTATCCTGAGAGAGAAAAGGGTGGAGTGGTTCACTAGTACAGAAGTGTATGATATGTCTAAAAATGGATGGGTAACATTATCTTCATGTGTTATAAAAAGCAACTTTTTTTTTTTTTTGCTTTAAGTGAATCTGGATGTTTAGTTTTATAAAAATAAACATTATATCAAAGTGCAGATATGTTGATTGGATGAAATCACTGTTCAGTCAACAATTTTTCACCCAGCTCATTCGATTTTTCCTTTGAATTTTGTCACGGCGCAGGGTGCCAACAGGGCCACAGACAGTCTGAGTTTTGACTGATTTGGCAGGAAATGGCAATGGGTGTTGTGTGTATGACAACAGATTTGTCATGACTCTGAGAAGTAATGCAAAACTGAAAGATCAGTTTGTACACGGACTTCCGTGCCTGGCTACCATAATTCTGTAAAGCCCTCCAGTGTAGATAGTTTTTTTGTGTATAGTTAGAGGCTTGCTAGAAGTCTGGGAATGAGTCAGCAAGGTTACATAGTTAGTCTGGCTGAAAAAAAGGCAAACGTTCATCTAGTTCAATTATAAAAAATAAATGTTATATTCCTATACCCACAGATGATCCAGAGGAAGGCAAAAAACCCCAACAAAGCATGATCCAATTTGCTCCTACGCTGGAAAAAATTCCTCATGATCCCGTAAGAGTGCCCCCTTGTTCTCTGTGATGACCTCAAGGTGAATAACTCTACACTGAAAGTTTATTGTATGTATTTATACATGTTGATCATATCCCTCTTTACTATCAGGTACCTGGTGATGGAGGCCAATGGAGAGAGGGCTTCCCTTGCGGCTAAGTTCCGGACTCCCCTGAGAGTGGGACAGTGGGAGTCAGGCCCAAAGTTGCCCAGGCCACCTGTAGGAGTGCTGGTTGTTGGTCCACTCAGAAGCACAGTTGGTGCACGGAGATAGGTCTGCAGACAGGAGGCACCTGTGCGTGATATGCAAGCCCTTTTGGAATTTAGCTGTTTACTGGGTAGTCGGTTCAAGCCAAGGTCAGGTACCAGGTGGGAATCAGAGCAGATGTAGTCAGATGGGATAGCCGAGCTCATACACAGAGGAGCGAGAGAGAGAGTATCCCTAAGCTAAGCCGAGGTCAGATCAGGGGTAAATCAGAGTAGAGAGGTCCTGGAGCAAGCCGAGTCGGTATCAGGAAATCACAGGTCACAATCGCAGGAAACAGGAACAAGGCACAGGGAGCTAGAGATCATCCAGCAACTTGAGGAAGTGATGAGTCTCCTTATAAAGGCCGTCTGGCACCAAACTGAGACTGATGCGTGCTTCTGCGGCCATGCAGGGTACTGGCAAAAATGCCAGATCTTCCAGAACTTCTGCGCGGACAGGACCCTGACAGTGCCCCCCCTAAAGGGCAGCCTCTGGATGCCCACCTGGGCCATCTTTTCAGGATACTTGGAATTAAATTCTTGGAGAAGCCTGGGGGCATGTACACTGCCCTTTGGTTCCCAGGAATTTTCTTCAGGCGGGTACCCCTTCCATCTGACCAGGTACTGGATTTGTCTTCCCTGCCTTCTGCAATCCAAAATTCCTTCAACCTCGTATTCCGTCTCCTCCCCAACTGTTATCGGCGGAGGAGGTGGTTCTACTCTCCCTGGAAAAGGATCAGGAACAGCTGGCTTGAGTAGGGAGATGTGGAAAACTGGGTGGATCTTGTATGATTCTGGAAGGAACAGCTCAAACGCCACTGGATTGATTTCCCTCTTGATCCAGAAAGGGCCAATGTACCTTGGACCCAACTTATGTGACGGGCAAGGGAGTTTTAGATTGGCAGTTGATAGGCAAACTTTGTCTCCAATCTTTAGAGGAGGGTTTCCTCTCCGTTTCCTGTCATAGTGTTTCTTATAATCAGCCTGGGATTTCAGTATAGACTCTCAGAGGACTTTACAGTTGTTCTGTAGCATGGAGAGTCTGTCCTGTACTGCGGGTACCGAAGCTCCAGGAATGGTGTCAGGTATGAAGGAAGGGTGGAATCAATAATTGGCCCAAAATGGCGACTGGTTTGTAGCAGAATGGACTGAATTGTTGTAGGCAAATTCTGCCAATGGGAGTAGGGATGCCCAGTCATCCTGAGAAAAAGCAGAGAAGCGCTGTAAATATTGCTCCAAAGTCTGGTTCGTTCGCTCCATTTGCCCGTTACTCTGGGGATGGTAGGCGGATGATAAGTAGAGTTCCACCTTCAAAGCCTTGCAGAGGGCTCTCCAGAACCTGGACGTAAACTGCACCCCTCGGCCTGAGACGATTTTACTGGGCAGACCATGTATACTGACAATCTCTTTGATGAAGGTTAGTGCAGTCTCTGGCGCAGATGGAGTACCCACCATTGGTAAAAAGTGGACCATCTTGGATAGCCGATCCACTACTACCAGAATGGTAGTAAACCCCTCCAAGGGTGGCAAATCCACAATGAAGTCCATTGCGACCATCTCCCAGGGACGATCAGAAATGGACAGGGGCCTCAGCAACCCCCAGGCCTTGGCTTTGTCTCCCTTGTTCCGCAGACACACTGTGCACGACTTCACATGATCATCAGTGTAGCCCCAGCAGTGCCAGCTGTCAGTGCTCATCAGTGCCATGTGCCAGTGCCCATCAGTGCCACATATCAGTGCCTACCAGTGCACATCAATGCCACATATCAGTGCCCATCTGAGCTGCCTTTCAGTGTCACCCATCAGTGCCAGTCAGTGCCAACTATCAATGCCAATCAGTGCCACCTATCAGTGCTGCCAGTCAGTGCCACCTATCAGTGCCAGTCAGTGCCACCTAACAGTGCCAGTCAGTGCCACCTATCAGTGCCAGTCAGTGCCGCCTATCAGTGCCATATATCAGTGCTGCCTTTCAGTGCCCATCAGTGATGTCTGTCAATGCCCATCAGTGCCACCTACCAGTGCTTCCTCATCAGTGCCCATCAGTGCCACCTATCAGTTTCCATCAGTGCAGCCTCATTAGCACACATCAGTGAAAGAGAAAAATCACTTATTTACAAAATGTTATAACAAAAACTAAGAAAAATCTATTTTATTCAAAATTTTCAGTGCTTTTTGGTTGTTTAACAAAAAATTAAAAACCCAGGGTTGATTAAATACCACCAAAATAAAGCTCTATCTGTCACAAAAAAATGATAAAAATTTCATATGGGTACAGTGTTGCATGACCGTGCAATTGTCATTCAAAGTGCAACAGCGCTGAAAACTGGAAATTGGCCTGGGCAGGAAGGGGGTATAAGTGCCCTGTAGGCTTGTGGTTAAAAGAGGTATAGACTCCAGAGAGAGAGATATCATATCACCCCTGTACAAATCATTAGTAAGACCTCATCTGGAATATGCAGTTCAGTTCTGGGCACCAATTCACAAAAAGAACATTGGGGAACTGGAGAAAGTACAGAGAAGGGCAACTAAACTGATAAGAGGCATGGAGGAGCTCAGCTATAAGGAAAGATTAGAGGAACTGAATTTATTCTCTCTTGAGAAGAGGAGATTAAGGAGGAATATGATCAACATGTATAAATACATCAGTGGTTCATATAGTGAACTCGGTGTAGAGCTATTCACCCTGAGGTCATCACAGAGGACAAGGGAGCATGCTTTACGTCTGGAGGAAAATACATTTAATCTTCAATCACGGAAATGTTTCTTCACAGTGAGAGCTGTGAAAATGTGGAATAGACTCCCTCAAGAGTTCTGGCCAGCTCAGTAGATTGCTTTAAAAAAGACCTGGATTCTTTCCTAGATACATATAATATAACTGGATGCTAACATATTATAGGTAAAGTTGATCTAGGGAATATCTGATTGCCTCTCGGGGGATCAGGAAGGAATTATTTTCCTGCAGGAGCAAATTGCATCATGTTTTGCTGGGGGTTTTTTTTTACCTTCCTCTGGATCAACTGTGGGTATAGATTATAACTTTTTATTTATTTTTTTTTAATGGTTGAACTGGATGGACTTTTGTCTTTTTTCAACCAGACTATGTAACTATGTATAATTTGGGCCAGCGCCCGACAGCGGTGTTATGAGTGGTGTCCATATTAATCTTATCAAAGGCTAACTGTCGTCAGAGCTTCAAGTGCTGATCCATCCATCTGAGATTGGGCTTTCTCACAAAGCGACCTTGATTCAGAGGTCTCAGCTTTTGGCTGTCATTTGATACATGGGATGAGCATGATTTTTCTACACCATCTTGGTTGTTGGACTGTATTATTTATACATATTTTTATATATTTATATTTGTCACTATTGAGTTATTGCGGATTTTAATAATTATTTGTACACTCTATGGAAGTATATTTATACACTTTATTGAATTATTTTTAACAGCGCAACACATTTATTTATTTTATTTCATTTGTATATTTTGGTGAGAAGACACAGTGAGTACAGCTGTTTATTTTGATTAATTGTTTAATTTTGATTAATTGTTTGAAGAAATTTTTATAGACATATAGCGGAGGGTAGTATTTTTGCTTCATAGGAATGCATTGCTGTCAAACATCAACAGACGGGTGAAAAAAACGGGTAGACGGAACGCTCAAGTATTATTATTATAAAGGATTTCTATAGCGCCAACAGTTTGCTCAGCGCATTACAATATAAAGGGAGACAATACAGCAACGATACAGTTCAATACAAGAGGATTAGGAGGGGCCCTGCACCTTGGGCTTACAATCTAAGAGGGAGGGGCTGGTGGTACAAAATGTAATAACTGTGGGGGATGAACTGATAGGAGGAATAGAAAATTCAATTATTAGCTGAAGGCAGGATAGGCTTCCCTGAAGAGAAAAGTTTTCAGAGATTGTCTAAAAGTGCGTAGAATAGGCGATAGTCGGATAGATTAGGGTAGAGAATTCCAGAGGATAGGGGAAGCTCTTGAGAAGTCCTGTAGACGAGTATGGGAGGAGGAGACAAGGGAGCTAGAGAGCAGGAGGTCATTCGAGGAGCGGAGAGGAGACGGTTTGGGTGATATTTGGAGACAAAATTGGTGATGTAATTTGGGGCAGAGTTACAAATGGCTTTATATGTTATTGTTTTGTTTTTTTTTCTAAATCAGGAATAACGTTTACAGTATTAATGTTTAAGTCATACAAATATCGAAATAAAGGATCATATAAAGAATGGTACCAAATAATCATTCATTAACAAAAAGAACAACGTAAGAAAGGAAACTTTCCAGTGTTACCAGAGTTCCAAGAGTTTCTGCAAATGTACAGTGTTATTATGCGGTAAGATCACATAATTTCCACACATTCAGAACAATAGGAGTATCCCCACTACAATGGACCCACGGGGAACAGAGAGCACCCTTACTACCACCAATCAATTCAGAAGGGTAATTGGATGGCATTATAAAGTAACAATAAGATTATATTTGAAAACAATTACAGCAGCCTATGCATTATCAGATCAAAAGGGGCAAAACCTGGAGTGGCCAACCATGCGTCGCAGAGTTTCTCAAATTTACTCGAGCATCCACCATGTTGGTAAATTAAACGATCATATTGTAGAATGGTTCCCATATTTTGCTTCCAGTCAGCTACAGTGGGAGGAGTATCTGAGTTCCAGTGCGCAAGAATCACCTTGGCCTTGGAAAGGGCCTCTTATATGAATGTATCCTGCGTTACAAAGTCTAAGATACCCAGGGGACATTGCTTAGGATCTAGAATTAGATTAGTTTGAAACACCAAATTAAGAGTAGTAACCAACTCCTCCCAATATCTATGACGTTTTGGGCATCGTCATACCATATGAATCTGGTCCTCAAGGTCCCACTTACATCTGCCACATAGGGGGTCCTGGCGTAGCCCCATCGTACACAATTTTGCTGGAGTGTAATGAGCTCTAAGTACAATATACAATTGAGAAATGTGATGGGAGACTGCAAATGAACTAAGATGGATTAACTGCAATGTAGCATCCCACTGGTCATCCTCAAAAATCCCAAAATCTCGCTCCCATTGCCCACTAGCCCTATTTGGGTATTTTTCAAGATAGTCTGTCAAAGCATGTTACAGCAGTAAGAGATGATCTCCCTGGTTGTTGTAGTAGAGTGCAAGTAATTAAAAATAGGATTAGGAGAGGAGTGCCATAAGGTTGATGGGCTTTGTGCAGTTACTGCATGTTTTAACTGCATGTAGTAAAATAACATTGTAGATGATAAATTATATCTGTACTTCAATATATCAAAGGAGATAAGTTGAGCACTGTTAAATGTATGCTTTAAGTGAGTTATCCCATAAGCCTCCCATTTAGAGACATATTGTTGTTTGGCTAGTTCAGGTAATGTCGCATTATTCCATATGGGACTATAGGCAGTATGACTCGTAATCTGCTCGTAATCTGCTGCAACTGCTTAACCGTAATCCAAATTTTACGCATTAGGTGATATGTAGGAAAGGATTCATTTGATTTACAAAAAGCTTGAGCCTCAAGACACTCCGATAAGAAGCTATAGGCTGTGCAATGCAGCATCACATGTAGAGTAGAGTCATCAACCAGAGCACAGTCAGCACCACTTTCCGCAATACCTTTATATAGATGCTGCAGCTGGCTGGTTAAGTAGTACAACCAGGGGTTGGGCAAAGCTATCCCCCCTCTATCCTTGGGATGTTGCAAGTGTTCCATTCGTATCTGAGGCGGATGCCCCCCCCCCCCCCAAGCAATGAGCAAAAAATGGTATTTTGATTGAGAAAGTTTTCAGCTAAGTCATGACTGGCGAGTTACGAAGAAAGTACAACACCTTTACATCAGACTGTAATAGGGATGTAGGTCTATAGGAGTTAGGGTCGGTAGCCACCTTGTCTGGCTTAAGTAGCAATACTACTGTAGCTTTGGTCATAGAGGCAGGAAAAGAGCATCTGTCATAGGCCGTCTGAAGCACCGTTAAGAGTTGCAGTAGCATGGATTCAGCATATATTTTATAAACCTCCATCAGGATACTGTCCTCTCCCAGAGCCTTGTTATTAGGGAACAGACTGGTCGCCTTAACAAGCTCATCTATTGTAATAGATGAGTCTAAATATGATTTATGAGTAGGAGTGAGTTTAGGTAAAGGAGTATCCCGAACATATTCATCTAGGGCCTCTGGTGTAAATGAGGATTTAGAAGAGTAGAGATTAGTGTAATAGTGAACTAGTTCTTCTATAATATCAGATGGGGTATTCACTAATTTACCCATTGAAGTAATCAACGACCCAATTGGTTGCACTGAGTTTGAATCAGTTTTGTCAACAAGTGTCCAATCTGCTCACCTTCCTTATAGAATGATTGGCAAAGAAACGTCGCTTCTGAGCCTGTGAGATGGTCAGACGCAAGAGCACCTCCTGCGCTGCAACCACGCCTGCTTATTAGATTCAGTAGGGTCATCTATATACGTACACACTCCATTAGTTGTGCCTGTTGGGTAACCTGAGCCTCAAACATCCTCATTTTAGTTTTAACTGTGGAAATTTTGGACATAAATACTCCTCGGAGGAATGCTTTAAAGGAATCCCGAATAAGTAGAGGGTCAGTGTGAAGGTTATTATGTTGGAAGAAGTTATCAATCTGTTGTGTCACCTTGTCATGAGAAGGAATCAGTTTCAACCAGAAGGCATTTAACTTCCACAGGGCCCGAGGGAGGGTTGACCCAGGCCTAATATGTAGCTGGACCACTAAGGGTGAATGATCAGATACACTTCTAGGGCTATAAGTAATAGTTTTGACAAGGGAAACTGATAATGAATTGCCAACACATAAATCTGTACGGAAAATGAT